AACCGAGGCACAGACTTAAGTGCCTTGCCCCGGTTCAAACGCTATTGGGTGGCAAATTCATGCCCATGGATCTATTACATGAAACCATATTTAGTCCCCTTAGAGTTGCCTACTGTCTTGTACCCAAGATCACAGCACCTGCAGCCTGCACGATTTGCAGCCATACTTCACAGGGGCCATTGACAATCCTGAATGCATCACCAATGGCCATAGTGGGAAAGGATCAGAAAACTGGGCTTTGGAAGCATAGGGAGGGAACTGAGGATACTTCGCTCAGAGAAGAGATGAGAGGTGGGCAGCCTCCTGACTGGCTTGTAGAAAAGAGACTAGACTTTTCCCTGGGGTTCTAGGTAGTAGCACTAGGTACCAAGGATGGATGCTTCAGGGAGATTGGTTTCATTATTTCCAACGGAAGGCTATCCAAGGAATAAAGCTGTTTGCAGACAGATTGGGAAGCCTTGGGTGGAATGAGCCTCCTGTCCCAGGAGGTGTTCAAGCAGGGATAGACTGGGCACTTGGGGATGACACTGAGGGGATTTGTGCATCAAATGGGGTTGCAGGTCTTTGGGCTTGAGAGTCCTTTCCAGCCCAGAGATTCTGTGAATCTATTATCCAGGATAAGACATCACTGGTGAGGACCCCCAACACCCCCCCTCCCTGCCAACACTCCCACCAGGGCAGCACAGGAGAATCTAGGTATCCCTCTGAAAATCTGTAATGGACAGGAGTGAGAGGCAAGAAGTTCTGTCCCCCCTGGCAGGTAGCTCCAACCTCCTGGCAGGTGCATGCCTAAGATCTTGGGACTTGAGTCAGGATCCTGAGCTGGGACCTCCTGTCCTTAGATTTTCCTGCTTCCTTTGACCCCTTGGTCTCGACTGTCCCTCTTCATAAGTGGGCTTTCCCTCTCCATGTATGGTCACAACTCCGTCCTTGGCTCCTGGTCTTCTGGATAACTGTTCCCAGCCTCCAGCCATGCTTTCCCTCCCTCGCATCTCGAGTTCGGGCCACCCATGAAACAGGCTTCTTTCTCTCACTCAAGTCCAAGTCTGCAGAAGCTAGGCAGGACCAGGGACGGTGTGGCACTGAGTTCCAGCCTGGCCCAACTGCTCACAGTTGGCTGTGGTGAGTCCAATAGCTCTTTGCAACGGCAGATTCTTTGGGGCACAGTTTTCCCTTTGTCTCCTCTTGGGCTCCCCCAGTCATCTTCAACACCACAGTTCCTTCTGCAGCTCAGAGTTTGGGCAGAAGATCTCATTTCTGCTCAGACTAGAACGTCGGGCAGCACAACTCCTGGATTTAGGCTGACATCATAGCAGTTTGCCATGGTGGGTGAATCCCAAGTGCCTGGGGTCTGGCCTGCACCCCTGTAACATGGGCACTCCTTAGGAGTGTGGGTTCATTGGAAAAGCTGATGTGGCTGGTTTAGAAAGGCAGACGTATGACCAGCGGGCCGGCAGAGGTCTGGAGTGGGGGCAGGCGCTAGGAGGATGGCTCCTGGGTCAGCTGCTTATGTTTGTATGCTCCTGAGTCTCCACTCCCTTCCTCCTTTCCTAGATGGCAAGGAATTCTGGCTTTGGGGATATCTTATAAACAGTCAAGGAGAAATCTCAGGTGCTCACTTAGCTGGAACATGCCTTTGGGATGAGACGTGTTCAGTGTCTCTGGGTGTCAGGAAGGTTGGACCACTGTGCTCTGGGAGGCAGCCTCCACTCCAGCCTGTCTGATGGGGGACCACACCCAAATCTTGGGCTCCTACCTTCTCTAAAGGCAGAAGGTAGGAACCTTCTGTACCAGAAGGCAGCTGCTCAGCTGTAAAGGGTTTCTAAAGCTTTCCCGTTCAAAACACTTTGCCCACTCCTGCCTCTGATTGATGAGCAAGGGCTGTATTGCTAAGTTCCTTCATTTCTAAGACTGCCCTTGGCAGCAAGACATGGGAGGGATTATCCACGTTGGCAGGATGCTGGGCTGGGTCCTGATCTCTCTAAGACCCCGTGATGGCCGCAGACTGAGAATCATTAAGTGTCAGACATTATTACTTGTCAATCAGGACATGCTTACCAAGGAGACAAGATACCCCAAATGTTCTGGACCCCTATTAACCAAGAGGACGGTGTGTACAATGGACACCAACTCCTGCTTCCTCGGCTAAATCTGGCCTATCTCTGGGGTTAAGAAGTATTGAAGCAAGAGTGTAATTTTCTGGGCGGGGTGAGCCCTTTTGAGCTTGTAGTGAAACTTCCCGAGTCTGTTTTTAACAAGGTGCCTGCACCTGACGTACCCGCTTTCCCCCCGCGTCCCCCACCGTCCGAATAATATTCTGAGAATCCACACAACAGGTCCCTCTTCTTTTCTAAGTCTTTCCAGCCCAGGTCCAGATAGAATCGGAGAATGTTCAAGCTGGAAGGGACTTTGGGAGTCATCTTAGTCCTTCTCAAACTGCAGTGTGCTTATGAATCACCCGGGGAGCTTGTTAAAACAGATATTCTGGTTTAGTAGGTCTGGGGTGGGGCCTGGCAGGCTGCAGATGAACAAGTCTCCAGGTGATATGGATGCTGCTGGTCGGAGGGCCTCACTTCGGAGAATGAGATCCAACCTCCTCATCCCGCAGAGATGAGAGCTGAGGCCCAGAAGCTTCCGTGATTGGTCTCTGGTCAGAACTAGAACTCTGTTCTCTCCACTCCTAGTCTAGGATCTGCTTTGAAAGGGCCTCCCTCCTTTTAAGCTGCCACTTCCTGCTCAGGCCCAGAGCTCCAGCATAAACGTAACATCCCATCTTAATCCCATTTTACTGTTAGGATGAAAGGCTTCTTGTCCCATCAGGTACCCCCTTGCTTCACCGTGTGCATTTTTATCACCTCCAAAGGGGTTTTTAAAGTTGTTTTTGTTGTTGTTGTTGTTGTTCTGACTTACAGACACCTCCCCTTCTCGGCTGGAAATGTTAAAAATCATGTCTCTCTCTCCCCACAAAAGTGGGCTGGGCATCATTTGGATACAACTATTTTCGTTCCAGGCTGGAGAAATGCTGGGCCCAATCCATTTGGCATTCCCTGCTTTTTGGAATCTCCCCTGGAGTGGTCTGAGAAAAATTCTCTGTCTCTGCTGCCACTTGCCACCTCCTGGGTCAGGCCAACCTTTGACTCTGCCTCAGTCTCCCAGGCTCTCAAATAGGTATTCCCTGGCCACTCTCAGAGGGGCGCTTTAAGGGCAGGGAGGCTCCCAGTGGACAGAGGGTATCAGGGCTTGGCCTGGGGCCAGTAAGAACTGGTTTGCCAGAGTAGGGAGGTCTCCACTCTCTGTCCCCTCCTGCTGGTGGGAGGGCAAAATGCCAGTCTGGCGACCAGGTCATAATGGCAACAAGGGTTAAAAGTCTCCCCGAGGCCCAGGGAAGGCAGAGAACCTAAGGGGAAGTCGCGAAAACTGCCTTTTATAGACATGTTCCTTCCTTTCTCTCTCTCTTTTTCTTCTTCCAAGTTTACTCACAGCGACAGTGCCACTTGCAGGCGCCTGGTCTGTCTGTGGTTGCGCCTGGGGTGGGCGGTTGGCACCCGCATACCCCTTCCCCCATCTTGCCTGCAAGTTGCATGACCTGCATCGGAATCCATGGGGGGGGGGGCGGGGGAGGAGCATTTCAGATGCTGGATGCAGTTGAATTCAGCGCATTCGCTTCCTCGCCTGCCCTCATCCAAGCTCGGGGAGGAGAGCCCTGCTTTCTTCTGCGTGTGAATGCCGTAGTGTGTCTGCTTGCTCCGAATTCCCTAACCCTTTCTTTCCCTTTCCGACAGCGAAGGCTCTGGTTTTCTGAGCAAACAGCTCACACTTGGCATTTTGACGTTTTATTAAAAAAAAAAAAAAGAAAGAAAGAAAAAGAAAGAAACCCCAAACCCTAGCGAGGCAAAAAGCCGGGACCCTTCTCTTCTCCCGACGGGATCTGAGCTTGCGTCGAAGGCTGCACCTGCTTTGCGCCCCTACCAGGAAGGGGTGCTTGTGTGGGAGGGGAGGAGGGAGGTTCTGCGCCCCCGAATCCGGAGAAAGCAGCCCGCCCGCCCCCTCACCGGGCAGCCACAGCAGCGCACCCGAGAGCCGAGCCCGAGAAGCCGGCCTCTGACGGTGCTGGCCTGCTTGCCAAAAAATGCCCCTTGCATCTCAATTTGCCGGCCGTTTCTCTTTCGCACGCACCGCTCGCCCGGGGCCACCTCGGCGCCCCAGCGCAGCCCCTTCGGCGCTGGCCCTTTCCTTCCCCGCTCCCTGCCTGCCCTAGGCTGAACGCAAAGCCCACCGCCAAGAAGGCGCAGGGGGCACGGGGGCACCAACCCGGCCGTGCCCCGCAGTCCCCTCCCAGCCGAGCCCAGCTCCCGGACTCTCGATTACGGAAATGAGTGTCCTTTAGACGGAGGACCGCGCGTCCGCGGCCCCCGTGCCTGGCTCCGGGTGCCTCTCTGCGGTTCCCGTGCGCTCCCGCACCCCCCGTCGCCGTCTTCGAGCTGTGCCCCCCACCCAGGCTCGGGAGCACTCCCCGGTCACCTCGGCCGCGTCCATTTCACTTCCTCTCGCGGTCGGGATTGCAGCAAAACACCGGGCAGCGCGAGGGCCAAAAAGTGGAAAGGAGAGCGCCTTTCGGCGTCGCGCAGCCAGCTCGCCAACTCCCCCTCCCCAGCCCAGACCCCCTCAATCCCAACTGCAACTTTTTCCCTTCCGTCTCGGTTTCCCCTTGGCTGCGGCGAGCGGGCGCCGGGCCGCGAGGCGTGGAGCGGGCGGGCGGCCGCGCGGCTGCGGGTGGCGGTGCGGGCGAGAGCCGCGAGCCGGAGAGTGGGTGGGTGGGTGGGTGGGTGGGGAGGGAGGAGGGGAGAGGACGGGCGGGGAGAGAGTGGGGTGTGGGGAGGGGAGGGGAGAGGGAGGGAGGGGGAGATTCCGCTCTCCTGCCGCTCCCAGCCGGGGCGGGGGGCGGGGGGCGGAGGCCGCGAGGAGGGAGGGGAGGAGGGAGGGGGAGAGAGGGAGGGAGCCGAGGAAGACGCTCCGAGAACCCGTGCGTTTCGTAAGGCTCTGAGCACTTGTGCATTTCTGCAGGCGCGCGGCGAGCCATTCGCGGCGGCTGCTGCAGCTCCGACTGCATCTTCCTCCTCCTCCTCCCCCCGGGCTCCGGGTGTGTGTATGTGTGAGTGAGTGTGTGTGTGTGTGTGTTTTGCAGGTGTGTCCGTTTTAATTCTGCCCAGTAGGTGGGACTTGGTGACTTTAGCACCATATTTTCCTTTCCCTTTTTTTCTTCTTTTTCTTTTTTGCCTCCCCACCGTCTGTTGCAACCCTGCAAAGTCTCGGAGTCGGAGAGCGCGGCTCGCTTCCCGAGCCCCCGGACCCGGCGAGCCGGCGAGCGCCGAGCCGGCCACCATGCCAGGCAGACCGCGCCACTAGGCGCTCCCCGCGGCTCCCACCCGGCGGCGGCGGCGGCGGCGGCGGCGGCGGCGGCGGCGGCGGCGGCCGCGATGGTTTCAGACGCTGAAGGATTTTGCATCTGATCGCACGGCGTTTCAAAGGCAGAGGCCCCCCCTCCCCCTTTCCCCCTCCCTCGCTGTCTTTGTTTCCTTCCCCCCCAGCTCTCCCCACTCCCCCCACCCCACCCCCCTCTCCTCTCCTCCTCCTCTTTTTTAGAAGCCGCGATCGGAGATGGATGTCTCTCTTTGCCCAGCCAAGTGTAGTTTCTGGCGGATTTTCTTGCTGGGAAGCGTCTGGCTGGACTATGTGGGCTCCGTGCTGGCTTGCCCTGCAAATTGTGTCTGCAGCAAGACTGAGATCAATTGCCGGCGGCCGGACGATGGGAACCTCTTCCCCCTCCTGGAAGGGCAGGATTCAGGGAACAGCAATGGGAACGCCAGCATCAACATCACGGACATCTCAAGGAATATCACTTCTATGTAAGTCGGGCGGCCGCTCCCCAGCCCGCCTCCCCTCTCGCTCCGCGTCTCCCTCTCGCCCGCCCGCGGCCGGGAGCCGGCCCTCCGCCCGCCCCAGCTCGCCGCTGCCCGCCGCCCGCCGCCCGCCGCCCGCCGGGCGCGCGTCAGGCTCGCTGTGGCTCGGGAGATGCTCTCGGGCTGCGCAGTCCAGGTGCTCCGGCCCTAGCAGGCGGGAGCCGGAGCCGCGTGGGTGCCTCTCCCCGCTGGGGACCCCAGCCGGCCCGGGGCGCGTGGGGCCCAGCTCCCGCCCCCGCCCCAACCCGCCGGGGCTCGGCGCGAGGTTGCGAGCCGGGTTCTTTGCCCCCCAGTAAATAGCAACAGTTTGGCCACGCTCAAGTGGAATAAAGTAGACGAGGTTCGATCCCCGGCAGCGGCGACGGCAGTGACAGCGGTGGCGCTTAGCCGGGAGGGAAGGTGACAGGGTCTGCTCGCGATCCAGCCGAGATCGTTAACTATTTCCTTCTGGAAGCAGCAAAACACGCTGACAAGTAAACAAGTTGGGAGCTGGCTGCTCGCGGGGAGACTTTGGACATGTCGAGGCCGTCATGGACGCCTACCTCTTCCCTTTCTCTCTCGCCCGCCCTCTCCAACCCCATTTTGGGCATTTCCGAGACACCCCCCCGCCTTTCCCACCCTCATCTGCATCTGGGCGCCTACAGATCCCGTCCTTGTGAGCTTTGATAACTGCGCCGGGAATTCCGAGTCAGGATGGAGAAGGGAGCGCGGGGGGCGGGGGTGGTGGGCTGGCATGGTTTGAGGATGGGGGTTATATGATCTTGCAGATCCGTTTTTGTTTTTTGGACATTCCAACTCTGACTGGCGTTTGCTGGGTTCTGCCCCGTCTGAGTGAAACCTGTGGTGGCCTGCATTCCCTTCCTTCCCTTGGGTACGGAGGGGGGATAGAACCATGGCTCAGGAGAAAGAAGAGCTGAGGGTCCAGGGAGGCTGCCCATCTTTCCTTCCACTGACCTCAGGGGGCCAGGTGACCTCCCCCCCATTCTGACATCCAGATAAGGGTGTGAACGGTGCTGGGGTTGTTATCCGCCTACCAAGGTCCACACCCCTTGGGGACCCTCAAAGTGGGTAGGAAGCCAAGAGAGGGGTTTGCAATGAAGTCCTGGCTGGGGTTTGAGGAAGGCATTTGGGCGGCCGCAAGCTCTGCCGAATCTGCCACTGGCGCTGCTCTCCCAGGCGGCAGCCCTCCCTTTGCCTCAGCAATGGGGCGGCCAGGCTGGGAGGAATTGCAGTTCTGCTCTCGAAAGCCCGCCAGCCCTGTTGGCTTCGTGGAGAGAGCACTCGCATTCTTGCAGCTAACAGTTTGAGGAAGTGTGCAGCCCAGGAGATGTCTCTGACTCCTGGCCCTGGAGACAGGCTTGACCCATATCTGGGCCCTGCCATTCACCTCCTCACTGCCTGCAGTCGGTGGGCCTGAGAGGAGGAGATGAACAGCCAAGGGGGGAGCCAGAGGCTGGCAGGGGTAGACTGGATGGGCCCAACTCTGCCTCTCCGGGCCCTGCAGGCCACAGCATTCCAGCACCCCTGAGGATGGTGGGAGGAGGGTCCTGAGTGTGATCCTCAGGGAAACTCTGGATTGGAAGTGCACCATTGGGCTGTGTGTGTTTGTGTGTGTGTGTGTGGGGGGGGTGGCGTGGGGAGGGGAGAGAGCTTAGCAGTGGGTCCAGGGGCTCAGGAGCTGGATCTGGGGATATCCAGGGGGATTGGTGGGCTAAAGGTTTGAGAGAAGGTCCCTGGTGTGGATCTCTGGGAACCAGTGAGCCTCGGTCAGCCTGTTCTCTGCTCCAAGGATGTGTGTATCTGCAGGAAGCCAGTGGGAGGCAGGGATGGCCACAATCACATAGGCTCTCTGTAGCCAGGCACTGGTGTCTCTCCTCTGAAGATGATGCTTGGGGAAGCAGTTTGATCAGGGAGAGTTGGGTTGCTCTTTACTGGCAAAGGGTCCAAGATAGAGGGGCTGGGAAGGTGGGTGACGGGAGGGGATGATGCAGTCTCTTGTCCCCTTTGCCATGGGAGGACCCCAGTGGGACAAATGGGAGGACAGTGGGCAGGGGGTGGATTGGGAGACTGTGTGTCCCCATCCCTGTTTCAGGACTCAGGCTCTTGGCAAGCAGGCAGGACTCCTTTCCTTACATCTACCCCAACACCTAAGAGCCAGGGAACTGGATTCCCACAGGAGCTGCATGGATTGGCAGGTGGGGGAGGAGGGTCAGAGATCATGGGTCTGGTGACCCTTCCTCACCCCATCTTCTCCCCAGTGCCCTGTTAGATCTATGGCTGGTATTGACTGAGCTCCGGGAAGGGCCCAGCCTTCTAGCCTAGAGGTGGAGGACTGTGGAGAGAGGGAGGAGAATCATGCTCATCCTGGGAAGCAGATGTCTCCCATTCCTCTTTTTACTCAAGGGAATGGAGGCTCAGGGTGGCAAAGTAACTTTTCTCGGGGCACATAGCCCCAGTGGTGAGCTAGACTTATGTCTCAGTCTGTCCAACACCAAGGCCCAGGCCCCCACTCTGCGGGATGCCTGTGGAAGCAGGCTGGGAGGAGGGCCTGGAGGGCAGGCAGAAGGAGGAGGGCAGGGAGGAGGCCTGACTTTAGCATGACCTGGGAAGGGGACTTGAGCTGAAGCCCAGACTTTGCAGGAGGAAAGAGTGTTCCTCCGATTTCTGATGCTCTCAGAGATAGGGAGTTCAGTGGTCCCCCGGCCTTCCATCAGCCTAAAGCTCTTGCTGGTGTGTGCCTAAGGGTACGACGTGGGCAGACTCTCGGCGAGAGGCTGGGGTGAAGCTGCATTTCCATCAGGCCTCGCTAGGGGAACTGGGGGCGGGCTGCGGGGGGCTGGCCTCCACAGACACACCCTCTTGTTTGTGGAGTTGTAGAGCCCTGAGGTCCCTCCCTGGGTGCTTAACCTATCACACCTGACCTTTAAGATGGACAAGAGGTTCCCTGTGGTCTTCCAGAGTCGTGTGTGGAGTGGCTCTTGGGTCCCCGTCGGGGGCTGGCTGAGGGCGCCTGTGATCAGGGAGGTGGCTGCCCCACCAGCGTCAGGAGGGAATCTGCTGCAAGGCATCAGAGCAGAAGTGTGGGCTCCCCTCCTCCCCTCCCAAAGGGCTCTCCTTCTGGGCCTCTTTCTGTTCAGGAGGACAGCTCCTTTGCCACTGGAGCTCGGGGCCCATGGTAACCTTACCTAGAAGGGTTCGCACACTGCTGCGCCCAACCAGGCTCTGTCGTCACAAAGGTGGAGGCTGGGAGTTGGATCCTCTGTCTAGGTCAAGCCTGCCTGAGGCTGGGTCGGAATGGTGCATACTTTGACTGTCAGAAGATTGAGGGGGCGGAGATGGTTATGGGACTGTGTTCCTTGGGCTGGCTACCTGGATTTCGAAGACCACTGAGCTCTTTGCTGGGACTCTGAGCCTCCAACTGGGTCTCTGCGGGAGCCACCACAGGATCCCTGGTGTTTGCAACTCTCTGGTCCCTTTATGTCCCCAGTCTTCCCTGCAGGCCCTTGCCTGGTTGGGTGAAGGATCATTTGGGCTTTGGCTGCTGTATTGGTTCCTTGATTCTCAGCCTTTCTAAGGATCAAGGGGAGCGCCAGCCTTGACAATTACCCATGGGAGCTGGGATGCAGGCAAGGGTGTGAGCCAGGCCCCAAGGGCAGTATGGAGTTCAGCCAGGCACTGAGCCTAGGCCTGAGGGAAGTAGGCTGAGATGGAGGCCTTTGTGGGGAGATTTGGAAGGGGGAGTGGTTGCAGCTCTGGGGAATGAGGCACTTCCAGGATGAAGGCTGGGGACTCGGGGCTCTGGAGGCCCTGGGATTTTGCCTGGAGGCCCTGGGATTTTGCCTGGAGGCCCTGGGATTTTGCCTGGAGGCCTGGTCCTCCCTGGCTCCAGAGTCCTCAACCCCAACAAGCCCAGGTCAGTCTTCCCAGGCACACTCTGGGGCTTAGAGCGTCATCTCTGCAGCTCCAGGGACCTGAGTGCAAGGCAGCTTTGGGTAAAAGCAGCCCACCCTGGCCCTCGCTTTGAGAGTGCTTGGGTACTGGTCCCTGGAGGGCTGGTCCTGGAGTCTGGGATGCGACTCAGGGTCCTGCAAGGGGCAAACCAGCCTCCTGCCTGACTGGAGAGGAGCATACTTCTGTGAAGAAGGTGGTGGGGGGAGTGTCTGATGCCCGCTCCCTTGGGATGCTCTCTGTCCTTGCCCTGCCTGTCCCTGCGTGCTGCCTCCTCTTCTCTGACTGTAAGGGTGGACTAGGTCCTTAGCCCAGCTGGCTCTTGGGCGGGAGTGTGGGTGGGCTGTGACCTTCCCTCGGGATGACCTTTGCCAGGATTGTGGCATCTCTCCTGCCACTGGACCCCATTTAGTGGCTTATACTGGGATCACAGACACTGTCTCTGGCCTCGCTTCGGGCCTCCCGTTGACCACAGGGTGGGTAGGAATAGAGAAAGGGATGAGATACATGGGTCCCTCCCCTGGCTCTGCCCCTAACCCGTTGTGAGCCGTGGGAGGGGACTGTAGCCTTTCTGAGCCTGTAAATTCAACTATGAATTGAGGCTGTGGGGCAGTGTCCCTGAGAGGCTCTGTGAGGTCCCAGGAAGAGGACAGGGGTGCTCCCTTCCCTCTCTGACCAGTGGCCACTGGCCGTTTTTCCCTTTGCTTCTTCCCTTCCCACCTCTACCAAACTCTGGGTCACCCAGAAAGTGCCACGCAGTTTGGAGTCAAATGTCACACTTAGGAAGGCACTGGGGCCTGCAGCCTCTCAGAGGCTGGACACCCAGCTTCCTGTGGCTCTCCGTTCTCCACCCTGTGCTCAAGGCAGGGAGTAGTCCCTCTGCAAAGCCTCCATGCCTTGCTCCAGCAGGGGCCTCCGCCAGATGGGGGAGGAACACCCTAGAACTTCCATTTCAAGTTATTCTTGTCTAGAAAAGGGAATATTTAGTGTTTGGAAGG